CCCCCTCCCCCCGAACAACGTATGCATTGAGATAAGATCACAAAATTTGCTGAAAGATTTTACTGAACGAAGTAAACATTTAGGTGGAAATACTGATATATTTGCTATGCGTTTGTATCGGTGGTCCGTTTAATGTTATTTGCTTTGGGCGATCGCTTCGATTGTACATGAACGATCGGAAGCAGCGGAACCAGATACTTTTGCTTCGATTGCATTTGAACATTGCCGATCTGCTCACAATGTTCATCTACACACCAACGCAAATTATTTGGATGAGTACTTTCCAAGTAATTATCATTAATTCAGCTACTAAACAGAAGCTTTCTCAAACTAGCATATGCAGATATTTGAAAAAAATCAAAGGAGCACCAATTGCAGCTTTAATAAAAACGGAACATTCCCAGCAAAATGAAAATCCTCCCTACTTTATATTTTGTTTTACTTAGCTTATTGCCAGAATCTAGTGTTTCATAACTTATCCTCGCTTTTCGGTGCTTGTAATCTGACGGCCGTCCGCACCAACTCAAATGATTTTATAGTTCCTTTTCAGTAAGGTGCTCCTTCCGTTTCAAAATTTTTGATCCTCAGTGATCAAACTAAGGAGGCAAGTTGCTTTCCTGTCTTATCTATCACATTTTGTACGGGCTGTTTTTGTCTTTTTCGTTTACAAAGGACCAAGGCATTTGCCTACTGGCTGTTTCAACCGTTAAATGATTTGCTGTCATTATCACATTTTGGAAAGTCAGTTAAAGATTAAGTGCTCTATTCTCCAAAAGAAATTAAGCAAATAAGCTGAGTCAATTTTCAGTGGTACGGCGGTGATTTGTTGTGCCGTATTTGCAAATTTTTCTACACATTTAGTTTTTATTTGAATTCTTTTGTAATTGCTGCGATAGCCGTTGATCGAGCACGAAGTGCTTATCGAATAAAGTTAGTTTTATGCGATGCGAAACGCAAGTGAGTCCGATGTTTCGCTTTTTCCTTGCAAATGATGCATTACGATATAGTCAAGTCTGTCTCCTGTTTGTCCATTTTTTTCAGTACATGTCCACTTCCGAACTGGAGAAATCTGGTATAATTCATTGCACCTGGTTCTTGATAGTTCCGATCCACATGCTTTGTCAGGCCCTAAGAGTTCAAATTTCGTTTTTATTTTTTAATTTTGGATACAGCAATTTCGAAACCCTGAATGCTTCAAATTTTTCCTCGCGTTGAGTCACAAGAACCATTTTTTTAGTTTCGTTTTTCACAGTAATTTAGAGATTTAAGTCAATTTTGAGCTGCACAGAAAAAAGCTTTCATTTTTAAACTGAAATTCAAAGATAAAATTTTTCGCAATGAGAATAATGTCAATGCACCGGTAATTCTGTAGTTGTGGTACTTGACGGGGGGCCAAGAAGAAAACAATGAACACGATACAAGTTGGACTGCAGAAGGGTGACATTATGTTAACCTCACTAACTGAGACAAGAGTCCCGATTAAACTGAGTTGTTCAACTCAGGAAATAAAAATTTGAATGAGAGAAAGGAACAAAGTGCAATGGAACAAATGTTTTTATGCGAAGTTCAGACTGGCTCATCCGTAAAAAACACTTGTGCATGCATGTCTTTTCACTGCTATAATACTGTATGAAGCGAAATTTTTCAAGCGTAAAGAACAAAATGTTGTTTATTCCTCTGAAAAAAAAAATTCGTTAAAATTAATAGCAAATTTAGCTGAGCTATTTCTCTTTGCAGAAATCGGAAGTTTTAATGCAATTCGTGAGTTTTTCCAACACGCTAGTAGTCCCCATAGTAAGCAAAAATTTCTATGCATTAATTTATTTTTTGCAATATTTTTTTTTGATCTTAGAAAATGTAAAAATTCGTCACGAATTTCACGAAGCTTGCTCAACTATCTGGGTTTCATTCATTCCCAGTGATGGATAATCTCAGCACATTAAAGGCTTTCATGTGCGTAATCCTTCTGAATTTTTTGCATCATTGAAGATGCAAAACCGCTACTTAAAGAATCAATTTGTTGCTAAGTAGACTCTGCTCTACCATATCGAAGAATTATTGTTCTTATTTATGCGAAAATTTCCAATTTTTTTCCGAAAAACACTTTAAAAAATTTTTTGATTTTGCAAATTTTTTTATGGCTGATTTCTTGCTGTAAGCTTAGCGGAATGTGCTAAATATGCGCATATGATGTCCTCTAGGCAGCGGCTACACGCTGCCACTAATTAGCTTCTTTCGAACGGTATTAAACAGCGACTGGAACTTTTGTTAGCTTGCACTGTTTCGTTCAGCTCATTAAAAAAGTAAAAAAAAAAAAATTAAAATGTTCCACCAGCTTTTTTCATCAATTAACTTACAGCTTCCTTTTCCACTCCTTCCTTTTGCCTTAACAAGCTCTTTGTGACTGTGTTGTTGCCTATACGGTTAATTGTGATCTATATTGCATGTTCTATGCATAACATAACTAATTTTGGTTAGTCTGGAAGATTCAAGTCAAGAAATCTTTTGATCGCCAAACCACCATATTTTTTTCTGCCTTTCGTGTTTATAAGGGGTTCACAGCAACGTGCGTTCTAATGACGCACCCACACCTAGCATGGCAGGTTGACGAAATCAGTTTTTGTTACAAATATCTTTGGAATGACTGAAAGCGTGATAAAAACACACGCCAAAATTCATTTTACGCCTACGCGCCCGCGCACAGAAAGCTTTTTGCATACTGACCATATTGCGCTGTACTAAATGCTGAATTTTGAGCCTTACTTTTTGCTTTCCTAAAATCACTTGAGTCTGGAGAAATAACCGGGTTTTGAACACCGTCTTGAGAGGTTTTTGCAACTACTGTTGAGAAATGAGAACTATTATTTCCGCTAATTAGCAATTCATCAAGTAAAACTCAGTTAAAATTGTTTGAAAGCTTTAGTTTGCTTAAATCATAATGGCAGTTAAATTAGCAACTTTCATCGGAATTCTGAAAAATTGTCCAAGATAGTTTCCATGCATGGTCTTCATCAATGGTGGCGGGGTAGAGTCTTCAAAAGCTAATGTGGGATTAAATTTGTTGTTAAGACGGAGTGAAATATCGTCATTGGCTTAAAAGTCTTTAATGATCCTTCGTAAGAACTAATGCGAAGGAATTTATTATTTTTATGTAAAAGATTAAATTTAGTCGCAAACAAACAAAGAATAAGTGGCAGCAGAACCAACTAGGACATGAAAGAGCTTTGCTAGATGCAAAAAACAGGACATAGGTGATGATATAAGTAACGAATACTAAACTGGCTGGAAAAAAAACTTCCGAAATTGCGAAGAAGTATCACTGTTGTCAGTGTAAGTTAAGCGTAGTTTTCTTTGCGGGATCTGCGCACGGCTTGACTCCGTGTTTGTGCTTAAAATGTTACTACAAGATAATAACGAAATTCATCGTAGTAGTGTGAAAGCAACGCAAGAAGCATTTCGCCGGGTAAAATGCGCGCTTATATTTTCATACATAGCTGCGACTGTATTCTCAATACCACAGATTTTCATATTTCGTGTTTTTCGACCAAGCGAATCCATCGAATTCAAGTAATTTTTCATCTTTGAAAATTCAGAAAAGTTTCATAATTTGAAAAACATTCAGTGATTTGTTTGAATAAGCAGCGGTGCTCACAACAGTCAACGTGTTCATTATGCATTTTTGCAACTCACAATGGATGAATGAGAAAAAACATTCGGGTGATGTTTTTATTTCATCACAGTGGATTTTTCATCCATTCTTCGGATACTTTAGCTTAGGCGTAAGCAAACATAGCATGTTTTGAGTACACTGACAGGACGCCAATTGTGCAACCCAATTCCTGACGTCCACTATGATGTGGGAAAGCTGGTTTGACATTTCCTAATTCGTATTTGGCTGAAAATGCGCTGGCGAATTCAGCCTCCGGATCTTCATAGTTCGCGACAGATACTATCCAGGTGGCTTGCTAATCAGTCACGCCAACGAAAAAGACGGCTTGAGGCAAAGAAAAGTACTCAGAAGGGCGCCGTCACATGGCTGGCTGCGTCTCAGCAATTCGAACAATTCGAGCAATTTCAGTGATGAATTTGTGCGTATTTATCAAAATGAGAAAAGCATCGTTATTGATTCTATCATCCGTCCACTGAGGTCACTTGATGGAACTGCGTGCTGCTTGAGAAAATCGACATTTAAATCGACATTGCCTTTTCCTAACATGTGCCGGAGTTTTCTCACTACTTAATCGGCACTAATTAAGTAATAAGAAAACTGCGGCACTTTTTTGAAAATGGCCTTGCAACGAGCTTTGCACAATCGACGACTGAGCACCAATGGTTCACCAGCGAAGTTTTAGTATTCTTCTATTGGTGCTACTGTACAGCATCCACTCTAGTACTTATCTCGTCAAGGCCGATGAATACAGAACCCAGGTGCGGACCAACACTGATCGTAAATCGGAACTCAACGCTGCTGAGCGCGAAATCCCTGGGATGTGCTTATGATTCTTTTAGCTCCTACTACTGTGAAGGCGGTGGAACTTATTCAGTATTACTCAGAATCAAGCGGGAAATGTTAAATAATTGTGTCGACAATGTACAAGACTCAGAAATCCATTGGGAGCAGTGGTAGCAAAAAGCAAAAATTAAGCTGCAGTTCAGACTCTGCCTTTCCAAACGCTGTATACACTGCTGGATGAAACGTGGCTGGACAAACAGAATGATAGTGGTTGAGCCTACTTATTTCACACCAGGAGTAGCATTGTGAGGGGTTGAGCCAAAAGTTAAGTTGAGAATCTTTTGAAATAGGGAAGAAACCGTGAGGGTTCACTGTGTTAAGGCTTGAAACATCTAGAATTCTGAACGGAAAAACCCAGCTGATGGCTAATTTCAGACAATGTGCGCCAATTTGGACTATTCATGCTTACGAGTATGAGCTCAAAATGCAAGCGGCGGAAACCAATCGCGAAAAGCATCTGCTTACAAATGCTTTTATGCAGGTAACTTATAGTTAAGGGTTAATTTCTTCCTTTCTCATCTAGTCCTATTCTTCTGAGTAAGATAAGTACCTCTGGTGTATGGGCGAATTAGAAAAGTACAAGCAAGAGATAAGTACCTATGGGCGAATCCAGGTAGGTAAATCTGCATAATTTTTCCCCCACCGAAAACAGAAAAGTTTTCCAAAACTCCCCGGCATTTAAAAAAAAGTTTTTTCACTAAAGAGAAAAATTTTGTCTCCAAAAAACAATTAAAACATTTGCAAGAAGCAAATTCCTTGACTGCGATTCCTGCGAAAAGCTGACAAAAATTACAAGTGTGCGCTTCTCATTATGGCAGCAGATGAACGACGCGTTGTGTACTTAGCCAACGTATATGTAGTTCTTAGACGTAGAGCATAGTTTTCCGCAGTGTAATGGTTAGCATGTTACGTGATTCAAGAAAGGTAGTGGCGATGGACAGTCCGATTCACACTGGGTCCACATCATTGCAAAAGGAGCTCTGTTCAAAAAATTCACATTACAGCACTTTCAGGTCCATCGATTGGAAAAAATATATAACCTAACACATCTGCTATTGGTATTCTGGATACCAACAACAATTGTTGCATTTTCTTATATGTTTGTTATCTGTAAGCTTAATTCGATGAAGCGGAGAAATCGACGTGGTTGGTGCTTCAGACAGTCGCAGACTTTTTTTTTTTAATGTTAATCCAGGCCGTTCTGATTTGATTGAGTTACTTCATTTTGCATCCCGGCCCGTTCCTTCGTTCCCACTAGATACTCGAAAATGTTCTTGCCAACTAGTTTTTTCTTGCCTTTTTGGTGACTTTTGTTTTGAATTCTGCCAAACGCTGCGCTTTTATCTGCAGATCGTTTGTTTCTTCTGGACAAGACAGAAAAGTTTTTTTTCGAGGAAACTCGTGATTATGAAAACTGTTTTCAGCAGGGCGAATCCCGCCGATGGTCGCTTATATGATTCAACTTGTAACCAGTACGAAGCGATACAATGATTTTAGTGAGAATGTGTAAGTCGTAGTTCAAAATTCTTTTGCGTTTTTTCTTGCTTTTGTTTCAACAGCGGATTCATGGAACGGAGGAGCAGCATGCGTTAGTGGGCGCGTCTTGAAATTTTTATATTTGACAGTTTATTTTCACGCAATTGTCCATTAATAACATTTATTTACTAAGCATTGCCGATTATTAACGAAATTTTTCTTTCATATGTTGTTGGTACTCTCATCTCTAAAATGTCTACATTTTTTTTTTTTGAATCCAAAAAATGGCTCACCACTGCTCTACTAACACAGTCCAATCTTTTTTGTTTTAAATTCAGTGAGTGTAAAAATAGAGCTTGCAAAAAATTTTTCCAATCTGCATTTTTGAATTACTCAGTCACACACCCAGCCTACTTTTCTATCAATATCGAGCTTTCGTTGCGCAAACCATTTAGGTATCGCAGCCAATTTCTTGCCCATATTTTCATCTGGCTCCTATTAGTGGCAGCATCTACATTAGACGAATGGCTTCAGTCACAGGATAAAAGGGATGCTCATTCAACTGTAAAAAACCCCGAGCAGTGGCACGGCGAAATGATTGTCTACTGCCACGTCGTATCGGCAGATTCATCCCGATTTCATTACACTACTTGATTGCTGTCAGCAGCGCAGACGTTTTTTGCTTTCATGTGAAAAATCATAATTAATGCACTACACACATGCACAAAAAGCCTTTTACAGAATACACTCCGTTTATGAATAAATGACTGGCTAATCCAGAGAGCCTTACAGCCATTGCTTACGGCCAATCTCAGCTTAATGAAAAAGCTCTTGTTGTGAAAAGTTGGGCGATGTGAAACTGTGGAAAATCACAGTTCACGCGTCCACAGTTCGAATCCTTTCACTTCTGGACTCTTAATTCTTTATAACGAACAGGATGCTGTTGCTGGACATGATGTTGCGATTTGCTCAAAATAGCTTGGGACAAAAAAAAAAATGCTTTACTGTATAAGTAAAGCGAGCAGCTGTATAGATTTACAAACCCTGGTGTTATGTTAATGGAGCTGTATAGATTTACAAACCCAGGCTGGAACGCACCGGGCGAGTCCGTGCGATCATGCATTTTTGCACCGGACTTTAATTACTCAGGTCATTAACTATATGAATGGCTGTTGCTTTACACCTACC